AACTACTGTTATATTTTACTTTTAGTGATCATGAACAGTGTTTTTTCTATGTAAGCATTTAATTTTTGTGGTATTGACTCATGTGAGAAGCATTATGATTATTCTGAAACTACTTTTACCACACACTATTTTTTTCATCATGCATTTCCTGAAACTGATTTTACACATATAGAAAAAGTAAAGTAGGTAAGAAAATAGTATAATTATAGACTGGTTGCTATGTTGCTTTTTATGCAGGAACAATGACCAACTGGTTAATAGTTAAACCGTTTTGTTAGTGACTCCATCAGGCAGCAGCCATGTTCTCAGCCAAAAGAAGGGGTTTTTTACTGCGGGCTTAATGGCTGGATTAGGCTTACAGGCCTTTAGACATTTGTCTGATTTGATCACCAAAGATTATCATAATGAAGCCCCTCGGGGACTGCGCCTGTCTTAGGTCGTCAGGAGTCGCAGACATACGGCTGGCCAGTGCCTTCTTTAGTCTGCCCCCGATCTTACCCGTCATTGACTGTCCAGTCCAGCGCACAGGGAAAGGGGGTCTTATTCACTCGGATGTATTATGTGTCTGAGTGAAAGCCTCCCTCTTTCCAGTAAGTTCACTGGCGTTCAGCGGCAGAGGCTGCCGCAATTGTCACCTCCCCACAGGTCTCTCACCCACATCTGTGTCACCCAGTCCACGACCAAAAGACAAGCGCAGTTACTTCATGTGTCTCTCGGCTCCATGTGCCTCCTCCAGGTCTCCTGGCTCTCATACTGCTTCCTTCCTTCTCAGTCTCCTCTGCAGCTTCTTCTCTCCCTGCTCATCTCCACCTTCCTTCTGGGTGGGGTAAGGAACCTGGAACCTCCCCTTTTCCTGGTGACCACCCTGTTACAGTAGGTGTGGGTGGGGCATGTATCTGAGGAGGTGTGATCTATGTCTTTGAATCACACATGGGGAGTAAACCAATGCTACCTCAAGCATAACTAACTACTTAAATTTAAAAAATGAACAGTGAGGAGTAAAGGTAAAATAGAAAAGGAACAAAAGAACACCAGACACAAAACAAAATGAAATCTTCAACACCATTACAGTCTCATGGTTTGACAATAACAGATTTCCCCTGTAATAATTATAATATATAAAGGAGCTGAAGATTTTTTTTTTTATAAATTTATAGTCATTTATGAATTAGTATTTTTTTTTTAATTTGTTTTTTTAAAGATTTATTTATTTATTTATTTATTTATACAAGCACTGGATACAGTCAGAAGCGCGGGAGGGTGAGAGAACTCACCAGAGCCAGAGTGGGGAGCAGAGCAGACAGAAGGACCGAAGGACACTGCTGAGGGGAGCAGCGGGCGGCAGGAGAGGTCTGCGCGCCATGTGGGACCCTCCTCTGGTGGCCGGAGAGCAGCCGGGGATCGAACCGGCTCTGCAGAGGCTGCGGGCAGCTTCGCAAGCCAGCGCTCAACCGCTGCGCCACCGGGGAGGCCCAAGGAGCTGAAGATTTTTATGCAACACTTCTTCTGTTTCCAGTCTGTTTGACGCAAGATTATACAGCCTCTCCTATTTTTCCAAATGCTTCTTTCCTCTGGGCTTGGAATGCCCCAACTCACGATTGTGTTAAGTTCAATATAAAGATAGATTTGAGCCTCTTCTCCTTATCAGGAAACCCCGGGCTACACTGCCCAGGACAAGGTGTTATAAAATTTTATAAGGAAAAGCTGGGCTACTATCCTTATGTACATAAAGGTAACAATGTGAGTGGAGGAATCCCTCAGTTGGCAAATCTGCAAAATCATTTGGACAAAGCTGGAAAGACATTTGCGGTTCCTTTGGACCTAACGACGTGGGCTTGGCTGTAATTGACTGGGAAGAATGGAGGCCCCTCTGGGACAGAAATTGGGGTGCTAAAGTTATTTACAAAACCCAATCAATTGATTTAGCTCGCCATATAATACGACACTCACTCTTCAAGAGGCAGGCCTAGTTGCCAAAGCGGAGTTCAAAAAAGCTGGAAGGAATGTCATGCTAGAGACTTTAGAATTGGGAAAATTACTACGGCTGAAATACTGAAGGCACCAGCACCTGCGGAGCGGGCAGCATTTGGTAAAAGGCCGCTTTCAGCGCAAGAGGGTTACTTACAGCAGGTGCGGGCGGGTACCTTGAGAGCACCGAGGCCGGCTTGCCCTCAAGCATAGGCCTCGAGCAAGTTTGGGGGTGCAAGGCTTATTCCTGAAGTACAGGGAGGCACTTGAGGGGCCAACCAATTTTGGCACATGTATGACCAAAAATAATGGAAACTCCACAATTTTGTCACTAGCAGGATATGGAAGGGACAGGCTTGAGGGTGGAACCGTCTTGGTCCCTTCTGGTTGTTTCCGGAGTCATGGTTCAGTTGCTTCCAGAGTCACCAACCAGCAACTCCATCCAACTCTAATAGAGACTTGAGGGTTCCTGGCCTAATTTTAGCCGCCTATTAGTTTGGGACCTTGATTCTAGTGTCTCTCATATTCTCTCTCTCTCTCTCAATCTCTCTCTCTCTCCCAAGCACTTTCTAGAATTCTAAAATTTTATTCTAAATCCCTAAAGATAGTCAGAAACATCTGAACAGTCACCCACAGATCCCTAGAGCCAGAGAACCTACCTAACATTACTGCAATTGGCGTATATTCCTCATTTAAATCGCAGAACTAAGAGCCTCCAGGCCTTTGCCAGAGGAGCAGATATGGCTGAAGTCTGAATCCAAGAGACTAGGCAAAATTTCTTGACCTTAGGTAAAGAGAACTTGAGTAGTATCTGTCAAGTGGAGCCAACATTTATACTTACTTCATGGGGTCATTGGGATTAATGTGTAGAGGCTGAGATAGAGGAGAGGAAGGAGAGGAAACAGAAGGAGAGAGATGCCAGGGACCAGCCTCCGGCAAAATGTCGTGTCAGGGGTTCCTGAAAGGATGAGACGGCCTTGGCGACCTGTAAGGGGCTGAAACTTAAGGGCTGAAGGGAAGGGGATGAGGTAGTGAGGAGACACTAACACTTGGATGAGGTGCAAGTATCTTCTGCCAATAGCTTGATAGTGCTAAGAATTAACCCCTTGTGCCATCAGGGAGGCCCCAATTTCTTATTCTTAGTGCTTAGTCTACATGATGTGGAAAGCTAGTTAATTTAAAATACAGTATTTACATTCTCCTGATCACAATGGGGAGACCTAAGTTAAAACAGGAAACGTCACTTGTCAATGCTGTAACCTTTACTCATTTGGAGTAAATGCAAAAAGAAACAATAGCCCAGTGAAAAAAACTAAACAATGAAGTCATCATTCCATCAAAGTTATCTAAACACCAAAGAGGCAATTGGTGGTAGAGAGAGAGAACTGCCCTTGAGTCTGATTAAATGCATACCTTTGAGGATATTTAGACCAAGATTTTATTCCATTTTTTCCCCAATGAAGTTGATTCCAACAGCAGAGTACAACAGTAATCATAAAAGCAGAAAGTTGTTTGTCACTTATGTACCATATTAGATGATTAAAACCCACTCTCCCTTTTCAGAAAATGTGATGTTTGTTTCATGTGTTCATCTCCATGACAGTAACTCATCCAACAGATGTTATTGTAAAGAGCAAGAACCTCAGAATTAGTTGGGTTTTCTATTTTGTGATGGCAGGCAAATTATTTAAAAATTCTTATGATTATTTCCTCATTTGGAAAATGAGGATGATTCTTAACCCTGCTGTTACTATGGCCTTTACATACTGTAATTATCTACTGAGAGCCCTTAGATGACTTTATAATCAGTTGTTGATTGATTTTTAGATATTTGGTTGACATTGCCTTTTTGTGAAGGAATAAAATAAGCCTCCTCTTCCCTACGTTGTCTAGAACAAACTTCCCAATATGTATCACTGTGGCATGTGGAGCTTAAGGTCAATCAAGCTCCTGCAGGGTTTAAGAAAAACTGTTATTCTCTTGATTTTCTAGAAGAATGAAGATTGGGGGTATAACTCAGATTTAAGGTTATCTCTGGAAATGAACTTGCTCTCAGAGAAACCCATCTGTAGTTACAGAATATCTGGTTTTTATGAGCCACACACCCTCCTCATATAAGTTCCCCTCCTCTACCTTGAAGTCTAGGCCCCTATCCCCTTCATTAACTCAAGAATAAATACCTTCAGTCTATTATATTTAGAATGTACAGCCCGGTAAACTCTCCATATGCATGTAATTAAATTTGTCCTTTTTCTCCTACTAATCTGTCTGATGTTCATTTGTTTGCTCAACACAGGATGAACCTAAAGGAATAATGGCAAAATTTCTCCTCTGTTCCTACACCTACAAACACTGTCTCTTAATGAAACTAGTGAAAAACGTGCTGTTCTCATGTTAATATTCACGTCGTAACACACAACACATATATGGCGAAGCACTTAGGGCCATCAATACATACTACTTATAACTTAGATTTTTAAAAGTGTGGTTACTATCTGTTAAGAATTAAAGGCAAAATAAGGCATATGCAATTCCATAAAAACAATATATTTGGTCAGAACCATAAAAATTCATTAAGCAGCTAAATACTAATTAGATGCAACCTTGGGAGACTCACTTCCCTGTAATCAAGTTGACAAGTGAACACGTGCCTTGAAGTTCTTTTAACTCTTTCAAGTTATTTGTTATCTGTTATTTGTATTGGTTTCGCTTTTGCTTTTGTTTTTGTTCGTAGCCAAAGAGTAGGCTTTGTAAAGGTCATGTCCCCATGGCTCAACCTCATATTTGATCCATTCCCCAACCTCACTGTGGGTCCAAACTCTTCTGAAATTCTGAAGTAGAACAGTCCCCAATCCTAATGAATATTCTTGAATATTTTCACAGCTGATTTCCCTGTCCACTCAGAGTGCCTTCCTTTCCTGTGCCTTCTCCCAATTTGTGAGTCTCAGGGACACTCCCATTCTGTCATAATAGAGCCAGCTTCTTAGAGACCTGTTGCTCTGACAGTGTTCCTGTTTCTCTTGTCTCAGGTGAGTAGCTCATGGCACTCCTGATTCCTTCAGGTAAGGAGCCCAACAAAGTGCCGACTCTTCTCATCCACAATGGTCAATCTGCTGAGGCTTTTATGGAGTTGGAGTAGTGTAGAGGGACAGACATACCTACAAATGTAATGCATCTCCATAAAGTCACTAGAAGGTTGAAGTAAGTTAATTTTTCTTTGTGGACAGCATCAGTCACATTTTTTGCGTATGCAATTTTCGAAATGTTTGTTTATTTCAATAACACCAGTAATAATGATTGTTCTTGCCTTGTAGATGTAATAACCATACAGGTAGTGAAAGTAAGTTGGTTTCATTTTGATATTGAGAAATAATCTTGTGAATGATTGCTTCTCTGACTTTTGGTAAATGCTCTTCTTCTTTTGTAAGATAGAAACAAACCCTGTCTGTTTGGCCAAACAGAAATATAACAACTAAATTTTTTAACACTATAACTTGTTTTGCCATTATTTGTTTCAAGTATTACTTACTTCTATCCCATTTACATATTCCATAGGTCTCATTTAAAAGCCTGAAAACTGACCAGGCAACTCACATTTGACAATACAGAAAAATATTTCAACTGGGCTGAGGGAAGAGAGCTTGAAGGCTAAACTTGAACAAATTATTTTCTTTTTCATTCCTCCACCACAGTGTAAAAAAGGTAGCCAAATTAATGCAACACACAGTAAGCCTTGAGTCAGTCTGATCTGCTCATAGAGTGATGACCCATGAGGACTTTCTCATGCGGTTTCCCTTTTAGATTATCCTGGGTGGTGAGGAATGCCATCACGAAGGTATGACTCCATCTTCAGGTCTGACACCACTGAAATCTGAATTTGCTGAGTATTTCATTTCTACTGGAACAATTTCCTAATGGTTCACTTATTTAGATTACAGAAAGGCTTATTTTATTTCTTGCATAGGGAAGACTTGATGTTAGCAGGCCTATGAATTATTATGTGAGCTTCAATTTTGCTTTCTGCTTTTGTGCAGGCTTATCAGCACTTTTCATATAGAAGAGAATTTCAGAAAGAGGCAATACTATTAATAATGATACAACAGGAACAATTTTCATTAATTTGGTACTTACATGTTCCTGATCTTCAGATAATATATTTCCTTTGCCCTTTTGAATTCTATGAGCAAGGCCAATAAATTGATAGGAGATTAACCGAGTACCATGAGAAAAACATATGAACTTTAATATTGTTACATGCAAATGGGAGCCTTAGTAGGAAGAATGACTTAAAAAAGCAGTTAATAACAGAGATTTTTATTATTATTATTTTTAATTTCTTCATGTTGCCTCTTTTTTTTTTTTTAAGATTTCTTTATTTATACAAGAACCAGGGTACAGGCCAGATGTGCAGGTGGGTGAGAGGATTCACCAAAGATAGAGCGGGGAACAGAACAAGCAAACTGATTGTAATACACTGCTGAGGGGAGCAGTGGGCAAGACAGGAGAGGTCTGCTGCACATGTGGGTTTCTCCCTGGCCAGCTAGAATCGAACTCTCACTGCAGAGACTGCGGACAGCTTCACAGTGCAGCGCTCAACTTCCTGCGCCATCAGGGAGGCTCCAAAGATTTTATTTTTAACAAAAAGTTATAAGTTGTGGAGTTACAAGACAAAAGAAAGAAGTTGAAGTTTTAGGGACAATAAATTATGGGACTGTGACTAGGAAATGCCTGAGGAAACTAATGAAAATTAAGGTTATATGAGTAGGTTTACTTGTGCCAATCTGTTCTTGTATCAACTCCCAGTGTCTGTTGGTAACATGTTCTTTTCCTGGTACAGGGGGTACATCTTTATATGAGGGAACTTATGTCCTGCCTGAGGCAGAAAGGAGTCAGCAAGAGAGTCTTTCCTGCATTTGCCCTTGTCCTTACTACTCTTGACAGTCTTCTGTACTTCCTGTCCCTTCCTATCTTTCAGTCAAATATTTCACTATATTTTTCACTTGTTTTTAAAGAATACTCATTACAACCAATTAAATCAATTTTATAGCCCACTGATAGTTCATGGCCTCCAATTTAGGGGGAAAATGCTAGAATAGGCCTACCCATATAACTTTCTTGGCTAGTCATGTACACAATTATGGTCCTAACATGTGCCTAAAATGCACAAGATTTTTTAGGTTATTAGACACACCTTCTTTTATTGGGTTTTTAGTGCTTTTGTTGTTTTATTTTTTAACAGATAAAATGCTTGTGGTCATCCTATACTGAGAAATCTATTGGTGCCATTTTCACAAAAGCATATGCTCACTTTGTATCTCTGTGTCACATTTTGATAATTCTCACAATATTTGACACCTTTCTATTATATCTGTTATGGTGATCTGTCGCCAGGGATCACTGATATTACTCTTGTAATTGTTTTGAGTTCCATGAATCTTGCCCATATAAACAGAAAATTGTATCAATATATTATGCCCGTGTTCTGACTGCTTCACCTATCTCTACAGTTCCCCATCTCTTTCCCTCTCCTCAGGTCTCCCTACTTCTTGAAAAATAACAATATTGAATTTAGGTCAATAAGGAACTCTACAATAGCCTTTAAGTGTTCAGAAGAAAGGAAGACTCTTGTGTCTCTCTCTTTCAATCAAAAGCTAGAAATCATTCAGCTTAGTGAGGAAAGCATATGGAAATCTAGCTGAAGGCTAGTCCTTTTATACCAAATAGTTAGCCAAGTTGTGAATGCAAAAGAAATAACCTTAAAGGAATTCCTATGAAAACTCAAATGACAAGACAGCAAAACATCCTTCTTGCTGATATGGTGAAAGTTTTGTGATTTGAATAGAAGATCAGAACAGCAGCAACATTCCTTTCAGCCAAAATCTAGTCCATAGCAAAGCTCTAACTCTCCCCTATTCTGTGAAGATGGAAAGAGGTGAAGAAATTGCAGAGAAAAGTCTGAAGCTAGTAGAGGCTGGTTCATGAAGTTTAAGAGGTCATCTCTCTGAAAGTGAAGGGCTGATGAAGAAGTTGAAGCAAGTTATACAGAATATCTAGCTGAGTTCGTTGATGTAGGTGACTACACTAAACAACAGATTTAAGTGTACACAAAACCATCTTACACTGGAAGATATCACCTGGCACTTTCTTTCCTAAAGAAGAGGAATCAATGCCTGGATTCAAAGTTTCAAAGGACAAACTCTCCTGTCAGAGGCTATGTGCTAGTGACTTTAGGTTGAAGCCAATGCTCATTTACCATTGTGAACATTCTAGGTTCCTTAAGAGCAATGATAAATCTACTCTGTGCTTTGTAAAAGAATAAAAAGGCTAGATGACAGTGAATCTATTTACAACATGGCTTCCTGACTATTTTAATTCCAGTGTTAAGACCTGCACAGTAAAATGGAGACTGAATCTTTAACAGTACCCCTGGTCACCCAAGAGCTCTGATGGAGATGTTCGAGGAGATTCATGTTGTTTTCATGCCTGCTGTCACAATGGCAATACTGCAGTCCATGGTCCAGGTGTCATTTTGAATTTAGGTCTTATTGTTTTAGAAATGGATCTATGTATTCCATTAAACCCAGTGGAAATGACACTGTGCCTAAGATTTACATAGCTTCTTATAAAAAGTACTTCATAATAAAATATTTTTAAAAAGTACTTCATAGATGTCATTTGACACGTTAGACCAGCATTTCTAGAGATAGATTTGTATTAGCAGTATATCTTAAGAGCACTGAGTGATATCTAAAGAGTCACTAGTAGAGCTGAAAATAGAAATAATGCACCAGGACCTCCCCTGGTGGTGCAGGCAGTTGGGCGCCATGCTGTGAAGCTGTCATCAGCCTCTGCAGTGCTGGTTCGATCCCGGCCAGGCAGCAAGGGTCCAACATGGCGCAGCAGACCTCTCCTGTCACTCCTGCTGCTCCCTTCAGCAGTGTATTTTGTCAGCCTGCCTGTTCTGTTCCCCACTCTGTCTCTGTTGAATCCTCTCACCCTTCTGCACATCTGGCCTGTACTCCAGTTCTTGTTTAAATAAATAAATAAATCTAAAAAAAAAGAAATAATGCACCAGTCCTTTTCTGGAGTTGGGGCCCATAATTCCTTCCACCATTAGCTGTAGTCATCAGATGAATGAATGAGTTCAGATAGAAAAATATAAATTAAGAGAAATTTGAGAGAAAAAAAGTCATTATAAAGGGAAATACCAATACATTTTTCTAGTGTTTCTCTGTGGCACAACTATTGTAATTTTGGAATTTCTCACCATTAGCTACAGAGAAAGGTGGTTGTTGGGGGAAGTTTTGAGAGAATAATTTCAGACTAGGATAAGTGATCTTTCAAATGCCCTCTCATTGTAATCTCTAAGATTCTTTCCTTTCCATATAGCAATGTAAGGTTGAAAGTAACTACCGTGAGGGAGAAAGTAGCTACTGGGGCACTGGGGTGCAACTGATCAACAGAGTGTTGTTTGCCTCTGTTTGGAAGAGAAACTCTCCTGACACACTTGCCTCCCTAGTTGGGGATGAGCTCAGTGCTGATAAGGGGGTCCTCAGTGACCCTGAGAAAGTCTGACCTATTTCAAGTTTGAAGGCAAACTGTGAATTGTTCTGAGAAATAAATGCAAATTTTGTGAGAGCCTTGATACATTTATAGTAGCTTTGGTGGCAATTGGAGATTGTCACTTCATTGTTGAGATCTGTTTGGAAAGGTGGCACAGTGGAAACAGACCTTGAGAGTTAAGTCTCTCAACTCTATGGAAACTAAAAAAAGAGAAAAAAAAACTTTGGCAAAGGTATTTATTTACACCAGAGGTTTGAGGTGGGATCCCAGGGGAATGAGGCATTTATTCATTAGTGCCATAAGAATCTATTACTGCAAAACCTTTCTTCCTCCTTATTGCTTATTTGTGGAAGGCAAATAAGCCACTGTAATGACAGAAGACACAGGGTCCTTTCCAGGTATATTATGGTGGGATGTTGGGTTGATTGCAAGTTAGACTTCACTGAGCTCAGTCTGGGTTTGAAAAGTAGCATTGCAGAGATAATCTCTCGCAATTCTGTTGTGTTTTTAATAGGCCTCTAGAATGTAGAGACTCTTCAACACTATTCAATCATTCAGTTGCTCCATTTCAGTCATATCTGGGTGTGTCAATACTTCATGCTTGGACAGACTTGTCTTCTGAGTAATGTTTGAACTCTGCCTTTTGGATGGCATGTTGTTTCATTTTGATTTTGAACATCTTTATTTAAAGAATCATGGGCCATGATTTGGAATTACAGATTCAAAGTACAACAAATTCATTTATTTAATTAATTATCTCATTTGGTATGCGTGAGAAGGGGAACTGTCCTTTTTTTTCCCCATCACATTTATCTGACTGAGCTCTCTTTTGGATGAGAGCTAAATCCTGGTTCCTGAGTCCTTTATTGTGGACATGACTTCTACCAAGAATGCTTCAAAGTTAGTTGAACAAGAACCCCTAGTCCTCTGTGTCTAATCACAATAGAGAGCAAAGGTTGCTCATCTCCCACCATCTCTCAGTTGATATCTGATCACCCTGGCCTACCTTCTTCAAGAACAGTCTTTGTCAGTTTAAGCAAAATTTCCCCTTACCTTTGATGTGCTCTCAAAGTAAATTTCCATCCACTGCCTCCTATCTCCTGATTCTGATTCTTGGTAAAAATTCCCACTTTTCGTAGTTGTATTCTGAATTGAGTTCTTTTCTATACTAAGGTCTCTTTCCTCCTATAGTAACAGTTTTTCTTCATCAGAGTTGTTTTTATTTCTTTAACTAGAGTCTAGCTCTGGTTTTGCTTGGACAGTTCTGAGGTTTCTGGAGGATATGCATTCAGATTTTGTTTGAACATCTCATTTTCAAGTGTTACCATGGGCCATAATTTTGAGTTTATTGAAATTCAAAGTCTATCAAGTTCATTCATATAGTGAATTCATTAAATCTTTTAGCATGTATCAATTGAGTATGAATTGACTCTGAATGTTCCACATAAACTAATCCTACAATTAAATGTCTATTATATATGTCTATTATATACATTCTTTAAGGAGGTATCTGAAGGTCTGCAAAGGTGTTTTGTGTACAGATACCATTATAAACGCATTCACAATCTTCCCAAATTGAAAAAAATTCTTATTCTCAATAAAATCCTTTTGGAATTGTTCTACATGCATTTTCAAAGGATGAAATATTAATATCCTTTACAACCTACACATGCACCTTTAAGGACATAATACTTAGGATTCATGTTTAATCAGACTATGGTCTCTTAGCATCTTAGATATGTTATGTTCTAATTATGTCATGGCAGCACAGGACAAACTTCCCTTGCATAAAATAAACACATATAAAATATGTCACTGTGTTTGACTAGAGCAATTAAATATAATTTGATTTGAGGGAATGTTCCTGAAAAATTTTGCTACTTATATGGTTCTTCTTTTTCTTCTCTCTCCCTTCCCACCTTAAGAAAAGAAGCAGGACTTAGAAAACTAGTATTTTCTTTCCAATAAACAATAAACATCAAACCTGACTATTGCTACCATTTTGAAAATATTAATTCTAGTATATTTTGTAAATTTTTTAAAAGATTTAATTATTTATGCATACAAGAACTGGGGTACAGACTAGGGGTGTGGGGCATGAGTGGATTCGCCAGAGAGAGAGTGGGGGACAGAACAGGCAGATCGACTGAAGGACACTGCTGTGGGGACCAGCAGGCAAGCCAGAAGATGTCTGCTGCACCATGTGGGTTCTTCCCTGGCCGGGGATTCAACTAGTGCTGCAGTGGCTGTGGACAGCTTCAGAGGTTGCATCTTAACCACTTGAGCCAGCCGGGAGGCCCATATTTTGTAAATTTTATAAGGAGAATTTCTTGCTACTTTTACAATGAATGTTGCTTTCATCGATGGCAGTGTTAAAGTTTGTTCTTTATCTATAATACATCGCCTTAATCTGTCGTCTGCTTCAAGACACTTGAATTTGTTGGGATTCAAACACATACACACACACACACACACATCTCCCTTGCTCCATCATACAAAAAATATCAAAAGATTAAGTCTTTCGATAATTGACTGGCAAAGAGCTGTCTTTTCTTACCCAACAGGTTAAATGCTGCAGAGATATTAAGATTGCCTGGAACGCTTTCTGACTGACTGACATCTTAGAGGAAAACTGTAAAATTTTTACTTCAGAAGTAAGTTGTCCTATTTTTTCCCCCTTTTTACTGCATAGCCTGCTAGGGAAAATCGCATACAACTTTCTGTGAAAAAGGATTGGAAGTTCTATAATATGCCTTGTTTTTAAGGCTACTTGTTTAGTTTGGGGAGTAGTTTGGTATATAATTGTGCTTGGCTTGGATACACAGATTAAAGTTTAGCAATTTCTTTAGCCCTGAGGATCTTAAGTCCATGTAAATCTTAGCTGTGGGAAACACTGATGAAGTTAAGATGAAGGTAACAGAAGGAATAAAGGGAGAGAGATATAATGATAATGATAAAGGGAAAGAGAAAGAGAAACGGAGTTGATGAACTGCCACCAAAATTGTACATCTTCTCTTGCTGAATTAAGTTCACCATCTTACTTGATGATATCTGGCCAAGTTACTTATAAAACATCATAGTTGAACAAAAAATTTCTTAGGGAATGATAGCTTGCTTGACGGCTCCTTTCCTTCCTGAACATATATTTAATTAGGTTTAAGGGAAGAAACATACACCCGCATTTTTCTGCTATGGAAACATTTTGCAGGTTGCTTATTTTAGAAGTCTGGAAGAACACAGCTTGGGGATTCTCTTATACTGGAGGTAGAAGTAGCTTTGGGGTTGGAATTATAAACAAAATACTAAGGAAGTGATACACATCCTACAAATTTGATTACTAGATGAGGGTGACAAGTGATGGAGGGAAGAATAGAAAACCAAAAGGAAGCATCCTCCATCACAAGGACAATGAATTTGGGATCTCCTGCTCTCCTGGAACTTTGCTTCTATTCCCCTTCCACATTAAAGAATGATTCCCAAAGTATTCATGGATATAATTTGAATACATTAAATTGCTGTCTTCATTTTTTCCTGAGGTTTCCTGATGGTAGTGACTAGTTGCTGAGTATTTGAACAATGCCATTACCTTCCTTAGTTGTTGTGAGAAGTTTAGAGTAGTGGAGAATGAGGAAGGGCTATTGGAATGACTTCCCTTGTGGGGTTCAATCTTTCTTTTTTTTTTTAAATAATAAATTTTATTTTTATATTCCCCATACAATTGTAACCCCCCCTTTCTGATCCCAATCCCTCCCCTCCTGCCCCCCACGCCCCCAAATGTGTCTCTGTTTCATAGTTTTTTGTTGATTCTGATTTTCACTTTCTTATAGTTATTCATTTTCCTGGTCCCTTATTTAAGTTTTCTAGATTCCTGCTATGAGTGAGACCATCCGGTATTTTTCTTTTCTTTCTGGCTTATTTCGCTGAGCATGATCCCTTCCAGCGCCATCCATGTTGCTGCAAATTGCATGTGTTTATCTTTTTTGAATGCTGAGTAATATTCCATGGTGTTTATGTACCACATCTTCTTGATCCAGTCATCTATTTTTGGGCATTTGGGCTTTTTCCAAAGCTTAGCTATTGTAAATAGTGCTGCTATAAACATAGGGGTGCAGGTGTTCTTTGGAATTGATGTTTCTGTGTCCTTTGGGTAAATCCCTAGGAGTGGAATTGCTGGATCATATGGAAGCTCTATGTTTAGTAGGTCCAGAAATCTCCACACAGCTCTCCATAGTGGTTGGACCAGTTTGCACTCCCACCAACAGTGCAGAAGAGTTCCTTTTTCTCCACACCCTCGCCAACATTTGTTGTTGCTAGTTTTTTTAATATGTGCCATTCTCACTGGTGTGAGATGGTATCTCATGGTCTTTTTGATTTGCATTACCCTGATGACAAGTGATGTTGAACATTTTTTCATATGCCTGTTGCCATTTGCATTTCCTCTTCAGAGAAGTTTCTTTTTAGCTCTTCTGCCCATTTTTTGACTGGATTATTTTCTTTGTTGTTGTTGAGTCTCATCAGCTCTTTGCAGATTTTTGTGATCAGTCCTTTATCATTAGTGTTGGGTGCAAAAATGTTTTCCCAGTCGGTGGGGTTTCTCTTTGTTTTTGTTATTGTCTCTTTTGCTGTGCAGAAGCTCTTTAATTTGATGTAGTCCCAGCTGTTTATCTTTGCCTTCACTATCACTGCTTTGGGTGATGTGTCTGTAAAGATGTCTTTGATGTGCAAATCACGTAGTGTTTCGCCTATATTTCTTTCTATGTATTTTATGGTTTCAGGTCTTATGTCTAGTTCTTTAATCCATTTTGAGTTGATTTTTGTGTATGGTGTGAGGTAGTGGTCAAGCTTCATTATTTTGCATGTAGCGACCCAGTTTTCCCAGCACTATTTATTGAACAAACTTTCTTTGCTCCAATGCATAGTCTTTGCTCCTTTGTCAAAGATTAGTTGACCATAAATCTGTGGGTTTATTTCTGGATTTTCTATTCGATTCCATTGGTCTGTATGTCTGTTCTTGTTCCAATACCATGCAGTTTTGATGATTATGGCTTTGTAGTATAGTTTGAAGTCTGGGAGTGTGATGCCTCCATTCCCTTCTGTTATTTTCAGGAGAGCTTTGGCTATTCGGGTTTTTTGTGATTCCATACGTATTTCATCAATAATTGTTCTATTTCTTTGAAGAATGACATTGAAATTTTGATTGGAATAGCATTGAATCTATATATTGCTTTTGGTAGGATGGCCATTTTAATAATGTTTGTTCTCCCAATCCATGAGCAGGGGATGTCTTTCCATTTCTTTGTGTCTTCTTCTATTTCTTTTAACAGTGTTCTGTAGTTTTCTTTGTATAGGTCCTTTACCTCTTTTGTTAGATTTATTCCCAAATATTTGATTTTTTTTGTTTCAATAATAAAAGGGATGGTTTTTTTGATTTCTTCATCTTCAGGTTTATTGTTTGTGTATAGGAAGGCTACTGATTTTTGCATGTTGATTTTGTATCCTGCCACTTTACTGAACTGATTGATGAGTTGAATTAGTTTTCCTGTGGAGTTTTTGGGGTTCTCTGTATATTATCATATCATCTGCAAATAGTGATAGTTTGACTTCTTCTTTTCCTATTTGGATTCCTTGTATGTCTTTCTCTTGTCTTATTGCTCTGGCTAGGACTTCCATTATTATATTGAAAAGCAGTGGTGAAAGTGGACATCCTTGTCTTGTTCCAGATCTTAATGGAATTGCTTTCAGCTTTTCACCATTGAGAATTATACTGGCTGTTGGATTGTCATAGATGGCCTTTATGATGTTGAGTTAGTTCTTTGTATCCCAAGAATTTCAAGGGCTTTTATCATGAATGGGTGTTGCACTTTGTCGAAAGCTTTCTCAGCATCTATTGATATTATCATATGGTTTTTATATTTCTTTTTGTTGATGTGTTGGATAACGTTGATTGATTTTCGGATGTTAAACCATCCTTGTGTCCCTGGAATGAATCCTACTTGGTCGTGGTGAATTATCTTATGGATACATTGTTGGATTCTGATAGCTAAAATTTTATTGAGGATTTTTGCATCAGTGTTCATTAGGGAGATTGGCCTGTAGTTTTCCTTTTTTGGGTTGTCCTTGTTCGGTTTTGGCATTAGTGTAATGTTGGCTTCATAGAACATGTTTGGTATTGTCCCTTCCTTCTCAATTTTTTGGAAGAATTTGTGAAGGATAGGCACCAATTCGTCTATGAATGTTTGGTAGAATTCATTTGTAAATCCATCAGGTCCTGGGCTTTTGTTTTTGGAGAGTTTTTTGATTACCATTTCCACTTCGCTGTTTGTAATTGGTCTGTTTAGGTGTTCTATTTCTTCTTTATCTAGCTTTGGGTGATTGTAGAGTTGTAGGAATTTGTCCATCTCTTCTAGATTGTTGAACTTGTTTCCATATAACTGTTCATAGGAGTTACTGATTATTCTTTTGATTTCTGCTGTGTCCGTTGTGATTTCTCCTCTTTCATTTGTGATCCTGTTTATTTGTGCTTCGAGATTAGGTTGTTTCTTTGAGTTCTTTCTTGTTTCTTGATGTGAACTTCTATTGCTATATATTTTCCTCTTATTACTGCTTTTGCTGCATCCCATACATTTAGGATATTGGTGTCCTCCTTGTCATTCAATTCAAAGAATTTTTTAATTTCCTCTTTGATCTCCTCATTAGTCCAGTGGTCTTCCAGTAGTGTGGTTTTTAGTCTCCATGAGGTAGGAAAATTCCTTGCCTTCTTTTTATGGTTTATTTCTTGTTTGATGCCTTCATGGTCAGAAAAGTTGGTTGGTATGATTTCAATCTTGGTGTATCTGTTGATGTTTGTCTTGTGCCCCAGTATGTGATCGATCCTGCAGAATGATCCGTGTGAGCTTGAGAAAAATGTGTACTCCGTTTTTTGGGGGTTTAGTGTTCTATAGATGTCTGTTAAGCCCAAATGCTCTAGGTCCTTATTTAGAGCTTTAGTTTCTTTACTCATTTTTTGTCTTGTTGATCTATCCATTGTTGATAGTGGTGTGTTGAAGTCTCCCACTACGTATGTGTTTTCTCTGATGTCTGTTTTCAGAGAGGACAACAGTTGTCTAATATATTTTGGTGCTCCTTCGTTTGGTGATATATGTTAATGAGTGTTATTTCTTCTTGAAGTATTGTCCCCTTGATCATAATGTAATGACCACTGGGGTCTCTTTTTATTTTTTTGAGTTTGAAGTCTGTTTTATCTGATATAAGTATAGCTGTTCCTGCTTTCTTTTTTGGTCCATTTGCTTGTAGGATTGTTTTCCATCCTTTAACTTTGAGCCTATTTTTATCTTTTGTAGCTAAATGTGTTTCCTGGAGACAGCAAAAGGTTGGGTTTTGTTTCTTAATCCAGGCTGCAACTCTGTGTCTTTTTATTGAAGAGTTTAGTCCATTTACATTTAGAGTTAATATTGATATGTTAGCATCTGTATTTGCTATTGTGTTTGTCTTTCCTTTGATTTCATTTACTTATTCTTTTAATAACTTTTTTTTTTTTTTTGGCCTTCTTTCGTTGTTATTCGTCCCTCTGAGTTTCTGGCTTTAGGATTCCTTGTAGTATTTTTTGGAGTGGGGGTTTATTCGTAATGAAATTCCTGAGTTTCTGTTTGTCTGGGAAGGTCCTTATTCTTTCTTCACAGAGGAAGGAGAGCTTTGCGGGATAGAGTATTCTTGGTTGGCATCTGTTTTCTTGGAGTCTGTTGACTATGTCCCTCCACTCTCTCCTTGCCCGTAGTGTTTCTTCAGAGAAGTCCAATGTCAGCCTGATTGGTTTTCCTTTGAATGTTATATGTTTCTTCCCTCTTGCCAGCTTCATTATTTTTTCCTTGTCCTGGATTCTTGGGAGGTTTACTATTATGTGTCTTGCTGTATTTTTTCTTTCGTCGTGGAAGTTTGGTGTTCTTCTTGCTTCTTGTATATCAATTTTCAGCTCCTTCTTCACATTTGGGAAGTTCTCTTCAATTATCTCCTGGAATATTTTCTCTGTTCCTACATCTCTCTCCTCTCCTTCTGGGGCTGTGTGCGCGTTTCCAGAGTCTTTTTGTTTTCTGATGGCACCTGGAGCCATTCGCTCACCGCCGCAGCAAATCCTGCAGGGTTCTCCACAGCTCCCGTTCACGGGGTGTGGTGGCTGCAAAAGTTCCTTTCCACTCACAGTCCCGCTTGCTGCGTTTGTTCTTGTTGGTCGATTTAGTTTGTTTTTTTCCTCCTCTCTGCGGGTCGGAGAGTGCCGACTCTGTGGGTGGGGGATGGGAGCAGGTTTCTGCGCTTTCCTCCCTTCTGGTCCTCTTTTATGGCAACTTTCTTCTTGGGGTAGTTTGCTGGAGTCCTCCGTTTATCTTCCGTGTCCCAGTTCTCACTGGGACCTGCCGCTTTTCCTCCCTATTAACTTTTTTTAATGGGAGATCTTACTCGCAGCGTCTCCTCGCCGCCATGTTGTTCCGCCCCCTCCGGGGTTCAATCTTTCATCATTCATTTTCCATTCGTAAAGTGTATTTCAAAAACTGCAACTCTACAGAAGTAGAGGGGCCAATTGGTCCCTGCTCCTTAGTCTTTTAGCCAAATATCTTTACAAGGAAGATGTTACTTTAGATGCTAATCTCCAAGTCTGTTGCCAATTGTGTCCCCAAGGTGTTAGATGTACACTAAAAAAATACTCTTTCATCGTGTTGTGTGTGTGTGTGTGTGTTTGTGTGTTGTTAATATGCTTTGTAAAAGAAAAGTTTTATAAAAAAGTTAATTCTTTAATTTCTTGACTGATTTACTGGGTTCTAGTTAGGGGATATAAATTTGACCGAGACAAAATTCCATGTGGAGAAAAAAAGTCAAGTGGTAAAATAGTTTTTTGTCTCTTTCCTTCATTTTGTTACCTGCCTAAGAGTTACAATCAAAATTCATTGTTGTGGAATCTGTCTTTTCATGCCAACATTCCATTTGCTTTTCACCTCAGCCAGTCTCCCATTTTGGGTTATTGAATAATCCATGTTGGATTATTCTCCTGTATCTATCTAATTCCTGCCTCCATTCCCAGCCTAAATCCTGCAAGGGTTTGTCCAACTTCAACACCCTTCTCTATCTGGAACCACATGGCATTTACCTAGGTCACATCTTTATTTGGCTCTCCGGGTGCCTTAGGCATACCCTACAATGTTATTGCACTCTTTCTATCTAGTCCTCATTTTCTGTATTTGAAATTGCATTTGGTAATCTGTAGTCCATGTGAATCACCATCATGGAAGATGAATTTTTCTCTATCCTGGACGGAGTGGAATTGCTGGATCATAAACCCTAGAAGTCTGACAGGTAGAACTAAGGCTATTGGAGAGATCGGGGGAGGGCAGAGAGCAGGGTGTGAAAGGGGACCCGTAGGCTATGGTGGAGAACTGTGGGTGCCTTGGTGGTAGGTGTGGTTTGGAGAATGTATTTGAGGATGTGTGATCTATTTCTCTGAATTACACATGGGGAGTAAACCAATGCTACCTCAAACACAACTAATTATTTAAATAAAAAAAAAAACAAACAGTGAGGAGTAAATGTAAAAAAGAAAAGGAACAACAGAACACCAGACTCAAAACAAAATGAAATCTTCAACACCATTACAATCTCATGGTTTGACAACAACAGATTTCCCCTGCAATAATTATAATATAAAGGGCCTCCACAGTGGCGCAGTGGTTGAGCTCTGGGTTGTGAACCTGCCCGCAGCCTCTGTGGCACCGGTTCGATCCCTGGCTGCTCCCCGGCCACCGGAGGAGGGTCCCATATGGCGAGCAGACCTCCTGCCGCCCAATGCTCCCCTCAGCAGTGTACTTCGTCCTTCTGCCTGCTCTGCTCCCCGCTCTGGCTCTGGTGAATTCTCTCACCCTCCCGCGCTTCTGACTGTACCCAGTGCTTGTATAAACAAACCAAACAAACAAACAAATAAATAAAACATGCCTCTATTAAAAAACATAATTATAACATAAAGGAGCTAAAGATTTTTGTGATTTAAGTTCTAAAACTTTACTTCCTTAGGATATAGAATATAGGAAGGGAAGAAAGGATAATTGGCTTCATCCCTCCTCTGCAGGCTCAGGAATGTTTTGAGAGACGAGACAAACTTTTGCTATCACAGAATTTGTATCTTACATAAGAGAAAAAAACTTTCTTGATTTCAAATGCAGGAGAAGTCCTCCATTTTCTAAAATGAATGAAACTCTCTGCGCTTAAATTTGAGTACTTGATAACTTTCCAATCTCTGAGACAAAAATGTAATTAACAATATATTCCTTTATTTCCCAATCACAGATAAGGAACTTACAACACATTCCTGAAACATGAATGAATAATAATACTTAAATATACCATTATAATATCCATCCTCTGTGCTTCTATTTTACAGCAAATACTAAATGAACCAAAGTGTCTAGGGAAAAAGAAGTGATTTTTCACAGTTATTTTCTTTGCCATGGGAGTGCTAATGTTCAAGCATATCTTCTTCACAAGCTTTCTTGGATTCCATGCAACACTTCTTCTGTTTCCAGTCTGTTTGACGCAAGATTATACAGCCTCTCCTGTTTTTCCAAATGCTTCTTTCCTCTGGGCTTGGAATGCCCCAACTCACAATTGTCATGGGTTCAATATATCGATAGATTTGAGCCTCTTCTCCTTATCAGGAAACCCTGGGCTAATCGGCCCAGGACGAGGTGTTGTAATATTTTATAAGGACAAACTGGGCTGCTATCCTTATGTACATAAAGGTAAAAATGTGAATGGAGGAATCCCTCAGTTGGCAAATCTGCAAAATCATTTGGACAAAGCTAGGGAAGACATTTGCGGTTCCTTTGGACCTAACGACGTGGGCTTGGCTGTAATTGACTGGGAAGAATGGAGGCCCCTCTGGGACAGAAATTGGGGTGCTAAAGTTATTTACAAAACCCAATCTATTGATTTAGCTCGCCAAAATAATACGACACTCACTGGTCAAGAGGCAGACCTAGTTGCCAAAGCGGAGTTCGAAAAAGCTGGAAGGAATTTCATGCTAGAGACTTTAAAATTGGGACAATTACTACGGCCGAAATACTTATGGGGTTATTATCTTTTTCCTGATTGTTACAATCATCATTATGACAACGACCGAGCTTACAATGGAAGTTGCTTTGACAAAGAAAAAGAAAGAAATAATTTGCTCGACTGGTTATGGAAAGAAAGCACTGCCCTATTCCCATCCGTTTATTTGAATACCAGAATAAAAGGTTCCAATACTGCGCTCTTTGCCCGGAATCGTGTGCTGGAAGCCCTTCGAGTTTCTAAAGTGCGAAACAATACGGACCCGCTTCCAGTTTTTGTATATTTCCGTCTAGTTTTTACTGATAACATTAAGACTTTCCTTAGTGAGGTAAGAAAATCAAAGTATGAGGATTATGAATTATCGTCCTCTGTAGTGTTCAATCGAATTTAATGTCATTTTTTTTTTTTTTTTTTAATAGAGGCATGTTTTTATTTATTTATTTATTTGTTTGTTTGTTTGTTTGTTTATACATGCACTGGGTACAGTCAGAAGCGCGGGAGGGTGAGAGAATTCACCAGAGCCAGAGCGGGGAGCAGAGCAGGCAGAAGGACCGAAGGACACTGCTGAGGGGAGCAGCGGGCGGCAGGAGAGGTCTGCGCGCCATGTGGGACCCTCCTCCAGTGGCCGGGGAGCAGCCGGGGATCGAACCGGCGCCGCAGAGGCTGCGGGCAGCTTCGCAACCCAGCGCTCAACCGCTGCGCCACCGGGGGCCCGAATTTAATGTCATTTTTGAAGGAAGGGAAATTTAGCTTTTCAACGCCTTTAGGATCATGCACACAGGTAGGACGCATCATGGCACACATGCAGAATAAGAACGTTTCACCTCTAACGTCATTGCAATGATGGAGAATAAGGTAGTACAGGCGACGTTTCAACTCAGTCCCTTCCTTTTTATTTTCCTGGGCCTGCTCTCTTGTCAATAGAAGTCATTCAAATCATAACAGGAACTCTGTATGTTTGCTAGAGGAGGGCAGTGGTTATGTAAAACATGACAATTAAATGGGGAAGTATTAAAAAATATTATTGTGGACCCTGTAGCTTAGCTCTGGTGTTACTGTCTGATATGTATAACACTTTCAAGTTATTCCCATCTGTTAACTCTCTCTATTGCACCCACCAGGAAGACCTTGTGCATACAATTGGGGAAAGCGTTGCTTTAGGCGCCTCTGGAATGGTAATATGGGGCAGCTCCAATTTAACCGTGATAAGGTAAGTTTTGTTGGTAGGCAGGGATCAAAACATTTCTATGTTTAATGATCTGGGGGATTGTTGTGATAATAAAAAATAAAAGAATACTATATGAGGTGCAAAATATCTTTTCATTTGTGGTTCTATTGTGATGCAGAATCTCTATAGCTGTTTCCCTGAGGAAACAATTCAGTGAGGTTTATTGAGTTGCTAGACTAGATGGCTAGTTAAGTAGCCAAACAAAGACTAGAATGTGGTTTGATGGGCATCCCTGGTGTTTCAGGTGGTTTAGCGCAGCACTGTGAAGCTGTCCACAGCCTCTGCAGCGCGGGTTCTCTCCCCTTGGAGGTGGAGCAACCCACATGGCAGGACAAACCTCTCCTGGCTTGCTGGCCGCTCCCCCAGCGGTGTTTTTCAACAGATCTGCCTGTTCTCTTCCCCACTCTGACTCTGGTGAAACCTCTCACTCTCCACACCTCTGGCCTGTACCCCAGTTCTTGTATAAATAAATTAAGATCTTTTAAAAAAATTCTCTTGACTAGACTGCTCTTTTGTTGACAAAGGAGGACTAGAATGTGGTGTTATTTCATGGTGTTTTTTTTTTTTTTTTCTACCACACCTTTGTGTCTCTTCTTAAAAGAGGCTGTGTCTTCTCTTAAAAGAGTTGCAATTAGTCAACCTGCATTCCTTTGGTCTTTCCTTCATTTAACTGCTGTTTATTTAGCAATTACTTATGCAATTATTCACTGAATGACACTCAGTTGCAGGGTCAGCAATTGATGGCTGTGGACCAAGTCTGGCCAGTTGCTTGCTCTGTCCAGCTCCTAGGTCAAGACTCATTGATACAGTTTTAAATGGTAGCTAATAGGTTCCTGTACATCAGTAAAGCTTCATTAGCTCTAAGTCCTGCTCATGTGTTGAGGAGCCCAGAGCTGCTCTGCACATCTGAGACACCAATATATCATAAAGGCAGAGAGGGTATCATTAAAACCTTAAAGTATTTGCTGCCTGGCTTATACCCAAAACGTTTGCCAACCCTTGAGTATTGAATGCCTGCTGTGGTTAAATATCAAGTAATTTTTAGAGGATGGAAATGTAATAATGAACAGGTCACAGGTCCTCTCTCTGCATTCTCAGAGCTGGGAACACAAGAACAGATAGAGCAGGTCAGGAGAATAAAGGTATCAGAGAGCCAGGAAGCAGCGTGTTCAGGATGGAGCGTGAAGGAATGGTGATATTTTACATGAGGCAGTCACAAGATGCTCTGGTGAGGTTGTGCAGCAGAGACCTGTTGAATTAGGGACCAAGTTTCTGGAGGTAAGTGCAATGGCCTGCAGGCTGCAATGTGCAGAAATAATGAGAAGGCTGGTGGGTCTGGAGTGCAATGAGTAAAGAAGAGAAAGATAAAAGATGTGGTTCTGAGATAGCAGGCAGTCATGTGTGGGCTTTTGCTCTGAGATTGGAAGCTACTAACATGTTTGAGCAGAAGAGTGGCAATCTCCGATGAACAAGTCAGAAGAAGTACTTAGCTCACTTGAGAGTAGAAGGCAGAATGGGAGAAGGGTAAGGTGCAGCAGGGAGAGGAAGCTAATGCAGGCTTGGACCTTAGGTGTGAGCAAGTGTTTGGCAGTGACTGTAATCCAACATTCGAACTAACAGTGGATTGACTGAGATATTGATGAGCAGAGTGGATAAGAGAAGCAGTAAGGTAGATGCCTCCAAGACTTCAGACTTGAATTAGAAGCTTCTGAGATGGCATGAGCTTCAGGAGCAGCAGCACAGCAGGGGATGCACAGGGAAGCAAAGGAGTGGGGAGTAGGGCAGGGGTTGGGGCTGGAGTAGAATTTAGAAACAATCAGGTTAGTTTTGAAAGAATGACTGAATCATTTAAAGGTTTCCTATGGAGAGGAAGGAAACCCTTCCTTATTTTCCACAGATTATATTTAGTAGTGTGTATTTTTAGAAAACCTGTTCATTAGGTATATAAACCTGTTTTTTCTCTGTTTGGTCTCATTTTTTTTTCATTTTCTCCAAATGCATTTTCTTGAGCTCAAAAAAGCTTTCACTGTTATGATCTAACCTTTGTCTCTCTCCCTTTATTTTTATCCTATTTTAGTTCTGTGTATCAGGTCTTTATACCCTACCTCTTCAAACGTTTTGACTGAAAGCAAGAGTAAAGCTGTCACACGAACACTGAGGAATCGGAGCTGATTTTGTCCTTCATGGTGAATGTGGAGATGCTAGTGATGCCCATGCCTTGGGAAAATTGTGATGGACTCTTAGGGGCTTATCCTAGGAACAGAGAACAGAGACTTTGTATTCTAGGAGCAGAGGAGATCTTTTGATCATTTGTACTTAAGACAGAAAAAAAACATCATTTTACTTCATGAATAAAATACATTTGTCACTTTTGATAAATTTTGAAAATAGTCTTGACTCTTCTGCTTATTAGGTCTAGTTCTATCCACTCTGATTTGATCACCAAATAAAGAAATAATGCAAAATTACATTCACAGATAATCAATCAGTCTCTAATATAACAAGCTAATAATTTACCATAAGCTTTCAGATTTAAAAAATTATTTAACAATTATAATTCTCCTACTTATAGTCCTGATTTTCATAATTTTTTCCAAAATCTGTAAACTCTATTTGGAGGACTGAATCAATGTTAGGATGGAACCACTTAAAGATTTTCCATATTGCATCCTTTTTCAGTAAAAGGAACTCAAGAGTCTCCTCTTAATCAAGTGAGGAATGACTCAGGTATTCACTAATTAGGAAGTGAATTGATGTACTATTTAATTGTCACATTTTTTTTGTTCTTTTTTTTTGTTGCTCTTTAATGTTCACATCTGCTCTGACTCTGAGATCATCTTCGCCATTATTCATACAGAAGGGTCCTTTAACTTCAATGTGGCTATTTTATACCTCATGACACTGCCTTGCAATAGCCCCCATGTACAGTGTTCTATGTATTTTTGCTGCCTTTCCCAATTTAGGGTCATTGAATATCAGTTCTATCATTATTTCCCCCCTCCTTTCTGTGTCATTCATTCAGTAGAGCAATGGGTTATTTGTCATGATTCCTCTGATTCAATGGCAACTTGAGAGCCTTTAATTGCAGGTTTACTTGCAATGACTGAACTGACTTAAAAATTATTTTCAAATGAAAGCAAACCATTTCCTTCCATTCTGTTTTATTAGTTCCAGTGACGAGATGGAACCAGTTTCTACTTGTCCCAACTTATGAGCTTCTCTATCTTGTAAAGCAGCAATACTGGATTAATTTTCTCTTACCTTGGATTTGTCCTACTCTTTTTATCTCATTTTACCAAACCCAACTGGAATCAGTTCTGTGTTTATGAGAACTAGACTAAGAGAATCCTGAAAATTCAGCTCCATCTCTCCCCATTTCAGTGTTCACACCCTTCATCATATAAGTAAAGTCCTTCTGCCATGTAAGAAAGCAGTGTCACAGGTTCCAGGGAATAGGGTTTGGGCAGCCTTGGAAGGTCATTATTCTGTGGAAGGGAAGGTAGCAGGAAATAGATTCAAGTGGAAGCTGCCAAGATTCCTCCACTTGCCTATTGACCTACCACAGCTCTTTGCTATGCTGAAGACTAGAACCACCTCCTTAGCACTGTCATCATGAAAGAAAGTGACTATCTTCTGGGTATGGAAAAGGACAGTTTCCCAGTTTTAGGACACCCTAGTTTTAAGATGGGTCATTGCCAATACTCAGATTCCACAAATAAATGCGTTTGTAAAAGAACTGCTTAATTCACCCATAATATGAACTACAGATCACATTTACTACAAAGTGTATTCAATTGAACCTCCGTTATTTTGAACTTGTATTTAGAGCCATAGTTCCAATGTTATTTAAATGTGTGTGGAAAATGAGATATTATTTTATAATTTCTTGAGGAGTAATGATACACTGGTGCTATGCCAAGTGCTTTTAAATACCATGTGTCTTTATACCACAACTCTGTGTAGTCCATGCTGTAATCATGCCACAGATGAGAAAGCAAATGGATAGCCTGATTAATTCATCTCTCCATGATTACTTGGACAGGAAACTAAGACTAAGAAAGTTTGGAAGTTTCCTCAATTAATGCAGCTAATATTAGTGTAACTGAGACTCCCATCAAAGTAGTGAACTCCAGAGATAATGCTCTAACTGCTGTATGTTCTGTGCCTCATTCACCCCCATTAGTTTGTGAATTATTGTGGAAGAGGAAGGCTAGTTTGTTCTCAGTGAATTAATCGGTGGCATGAAATGGCATGTGAAACTTGCAAATGTTACTACGTGTATTTGGAATAGTCTTTGCTTGTGCACAAAAGTATAAAATATGTCCTATGTCTCCCTGGATTTTTATTTTCATGCTTCCTTAGAAAATGCTTCTTGCTAGGATTTAAATGACATACAAATTAACTTGCCCCTTCTCATTCTGACCTTCTTATAATTTTACAGACAGATTGCACGAACCTAGCCAATTATATGAAGAATACCCTGAATCCTTACATAATCAACGTCACCCTAGCAGCCAAAATGTGTAGCCAAGTGCTTTGCCAAGATCAGGGAGTGTGTGTACGGAAACACTGGAATTCAAGTGAATATCTTCACCTGAACCCAACAAATTTTGTTATTCAAATGGTGGAAGGTGGAAAATATGTGGTAAACGGGACTCCCACACTGGAGGACCTGCAGCAATTTTCTGAAAAATTTCATTGCAGCTGTTATGCCAATATCCATTGTATGACTAGAGTGAATGTGACTACTACAAATCTTATCCATGTATGTGTTGGTAATGATGTTTGTATAGATGCCTTTGTAAACCCAGCACTCAGTGGTCCTTAAAAGTGAGTGACAGATCTTCAGGTGCTTACAGCAGTGCTGCTACTATACCATATGCTACAATGTCCCCACGTGCTTCTGGGAAAGTCCTCAATGAGAGCCTCCAAACAAAATGCTTAGTGGAAGCTGTCTCCAACATCCTCCAAGAAGAACATGAGCGTCGCTTATGTAATCTAAACACTCCTAATGAATCAACCTTTACCAGTACAAGTTCAGTGCTTATTAAATTTCCTATCCACATACTTTATGTTTTTCTAGCTTTTACATTTTTATATTTAGTAACTTAAAAATGCTTTTTTCATACACATGATCATCCTTAGTTTGTATTTGAAGTGCTGACAAAAACACATGGCTATGATAATGAATAGCTTGACATTTTGAGCAAAAATTATTTTCTTATGATCAAATGAAACTTTAAATTATTATTAATGATAAACAAGGAATGTTGACTACCACCTTTGATTTTCAAAATCATAGAACAGTGTTATGACTAAAACCATTGATACAACAATATGATTGAAACTACATTTGATTTGAATCCAGATTTTTAACAGAACATACAATTTCTTTAAGATGATGTCCAAGTTATATATTCTGCTTGCCGTGATTCTGTAGCAAATATTTTGCGTACATGAATGTATATATACTGATTGTAAAAACTGATTGTAATTCCTAACAAACTGTCTACCTAGTTTTGCCTGAGAAAAGTGAAGGTTTGGATAATACCACTTTACTACAAATGAGTATCATTGTGGATGTACTGTAGTTAATAAAAAAATGTTAAGAAAGTAATAATGAGGAAAACTCTTTTTCTTTTTTAATGTCTATTGCTAGTTGGTCCTTAGCATAGAAATATGATTTCAGCTACTTCAGTTTAATCATTGCTTCCAGTTGTGTTGTATAAACAGTAGCCTTTAACAAGTGATTATCCTGTCAACTTTGCTTTTGAGTTAATGTCTTCAGAATTCATATAGTCGGTATTCCGATTGTCTTTTCATCCTTGGTTGTCAAGTTTGACACTCTTGTGCACCCATAATGCCTTACTTCATCTAAGTTCCATCCACATCCTCAGAGAGCATTTATTGAGTGTTTTTTTCTCTGCCAGGGTCAATGGAGGCATCACAGATTAGAGAGGAAGGAGAATGTTTCTTGCTATGCTGAGTTTGGTGTATATTTGAAGAAGACAGACCTCGAAATTGAAAAATTACAACAGTGTGTGGTGAATGTTATGATAGAAACTCAGCATGCTGTGCATACAAATATGAATTCCAAGAGTGCCTTTATGCTATCTATTGACCCAATAAAATTTTAATATATTGTGCTGATACAACAATGCTTATTTGATTTCTAGCACTTTAATATTCCACATATTCAAAACATACTTTAGCATAGGCACATAGTTTGAAAAGAAATATATTACGTTCCCCACACCAAAG